ACGGCGTGTCAGAACAACCCCAGGATGCCAAAACCACCCCAAATCGACGGAAAAGATGTTTTAACATCGCCTATCCGAAGGAAACGGGAGCAATTAGTCCACAAGTAGTGCAGTTGAGCAAATTTGGGACGCGCATCCATAATGAGCTGGTTGGTGTCGGAGGGCTGTGCCAGGCTGTGCGAGCGAAGACGGGCATTCCTTGAGGGGGCGCTCTGGGAGGAACGGGGCTTCGAGCGCGTCCAACAGCCAAGGAATGCAGCTAATTCGCACTGAGCCGATCCAGGGCGATGCAGTAGACGACCATTTGGGCCGCTCGGGGCGGCAGTCGTTGTTTTCGCCAAGTGTTAAATTTGCCGAAATTTCCATTGACTTGAGGTGTGGCAAGGGTGCGGCCGGTGCAAGCGTCATGCCTTTGAAAAAATATTTTAATTTTAATTATTCGATTCCTTTATTTTGTCACGATCCACGCCGTTCACCTAAAATAGGAGATTTTGTCCGGTTCGCTGCCGGTGACACAACGCGGCCGCCGCTGCCAGCTCGCCGAGCCTGGAGGCCAGCAGCGCCGCTTTCGTCGCTCCGTCTCTCTCGCACCCTGACGGGACGCCCCGTGAGTGCGAGAGAGACAGAGAGCAAAGTGCTCGGAATCGGCCCGGCGGCCGCCTGAAACGTCCCGATATCCATCTCGAGGCGATAGGCCTGCCCTGCCGATCCGATTCGACTCGACCCAATCCCCGCCGTTGTTGATTTACGGTGATCACGGCGCGAGCGCGCGAGCCTGGGATACTATAGCACGCTGAGTGGCGCGGCGTGGCGCGGCGTTACGTTTTCCCCGAACGGGTTGGACTTCGCGCTGATTGGCCTGCTCCAGCCCCGAAGAAGTGTGCGAACGCAACGCCGGGGGAAAAGCGCGCCAAAACTAGACCGCGTCCGTCGCGCTCATGTAACGTGAATAAAACACGTTCGCGAACGCTCTGTGGTTCGCGGAATGCACACACCGGGATTGTGCAAAGTGCAACGAGGCTTTAGAGGGTTGAATATTGCTCCACTCTCGAGGGTGTGACTAAAATTCGCACACTTTCGGTGCCGCCAGTGTGATATCGTGTTACGTGATAAAAGTGGACAACGACCCCCGAATGCAGCATCAGCGTGCACTTGGAGGTAGTAGTCGTCCACAGGCCCGCTCTGGAGGCTCAGGAGATAGACGCGCGTCCCGTTTAGCCATCAACAAGAGAGACGCTCTGCAGTGCTGCGCTGCTGCAGCTCATCAACACCGGCTCTTCTTCTTGCTTCTTGCTCGTAAACGGAGGCGGCCAGCAGCGCTGCTCCGCGGGGACGCTTTTTTCGACCCTTTCTTCCTGCGCCGTGATTAATACGTTGAAAAATAACGCCGTCTCCTCCGATCCGTTCGTATCGCTGAATGGAGTCCGAACGGAGACGAGACCACCCGACGAGCCGCTAATTGGCAAACGGCGGACGACGGCCCTGAATTTCGCACTGAACAGTGTCTCCGCGAAGAATGGTGGAGTAGTGAAGTGGAGCTAAATCCTTGCGCACAGTTAGTGCATGCACCAAGAAAACTGTGCGCGTCGAGGACAAGAAGGCCCTTGGACTGCACCCTCCGCGGCGGGCCCCCCGAAAAAGCGCCCACCACTCATTCGATTCATCACTTCCACTCGCGTGCGTCACGGACACGTCACGGACACGTCACGGCGTGTGTCCCGACCCGGATAGAGGTATCGATAGTGGTATCGATCGGGACATCGACAAGCGGCGGCATGAGCCAGGCATAGGCAGGCATGAGCCGGCCGGGACAAGGCAGTGGCTCCCATGGCGGCGTGTGGCGGCGCGGGGCGGGGTGTTGTTTGAGACCGCCGCGCCGCGCGGGACCGCGAACGCGCGAGCATGGAGAGGCGTGGTGGCGAATTTCAACCGCCACGCACCGCCACGCCGCGCCTCGCATGCATGCCACTCGATGCTATCAGCCATTGCCTCGTTACTGATACCGCCACCCGCTACCCGGCACCTTCGCAGTGCCCTAGGTGCCCTAGGTACCCGCTAACCGGCCGGCCGGCCGGCCAGGGAGCGGTCATCGATCATGGAGCCGTCGCCGAGGCGAGGGAGGTCCCGGACGAGGTCCCGGAGGCCCTCGAGCAGGCCACCCTCTCGGCGCTCTGTCTCCCTCGCACTCGAGGCGCGTCCCGCACGAGTGCGAGAGAGACACACGCCCGTTCGTTCGGCCTGCCGAGGGCAGGCCCTCGATGTCGTCGTGGGGAATGCCGCCGCCCGCTGCGTGTGGCAGTGTAGTGCGCACTGCACCGCGTATAATGCATTGCGCTTCTTTTTTTCTCGGATCGCCATTCGCGCTTCGATAAAGCGACCTGACGAAGGGCACGACGAAATCCATAACGCTTTTTGCATGCCCTTCTTGCGTTGTCCTTTTTGCATCCTTTTTTGCGCTCGCTGCCAGCCGAACAGACCAACACCGCTCCAGCCTGCTCACAGTCACAGCACTGCACCGCCACGTCCATGTCCGCCGATGAGGACCAGACTCTCTCTCTCTCTCTCTCTCTCTCTCTCTCTCTCTCTCTCTCTCTCTCTCTCTCTCTCTCTCTCTCTCTCTCTCTCTCTCTCTCTCTCTCTCTCTCTCTCTCTCTCTCCTCTCTCTCTCTATCGATGTACGGAATCGGAACCCGTACAAAAAAAAGTGGCTTGAGGAAGGCTATAGGATGGCTCAGAAATAGCCATCCTCCCGCCAACCTCAGACAGTCTCTAGCCATCGAGGATGTCTATAGAAAAGTAAACTTAGTGCCCAGAAAAGACTCTCTGTAGCCATCGCCGATTAGACATTCTGTAGACATTTTGGAGACAGCCAGGAGACATCCTTAAGACGTCCAGGAGGCATGTATGAGGCATGTATAAAATTTTTGCCCCCCACCCCCTTATACATGCCTCCTGGACGTCTTAAGGATGTCTCCTGGCTGTCTCCAAAATGTCTACAGAATGTCTAATCGGCGATGGCTACAGAGAGTCTTTTCTGGGCACTAAGTTTACTTTTCTATAGACATCCTCGATGGCTAGAGACTGTCTGAGGTTGGCGGGAGGATGGCTATTTCTGAGCCATCCTATAGCCTTCCTCAAGCCACTTTTTTTTGTACGGGAATCGCTCTGCAGCACATTAGGGTGTTTGCATTCGTCCATGACTCCGGCCGCAAACCTAGAAAATCCTCGAAAATCCTAGAAAAGCCTTTCTCTCCGTGTGGCGGGCGACGCGGCGGGTCGGCGGCTGCTTTCCTCCGGCATGTCCTGTGCACCAGATACGCATCTATCAATAGGTTGATTAATGAAAGACGAGGCGCGGGCGCCAACTCAGTGACGAGTGGGCGTGCCCCCCCCCCCCCCCCCCAACTCCTCCACGCGGAGAAGGCCGCTTGTCTCCGCGTGGCTCGCCTGGAAATTTACAAAGAGGACGCGCCGCATGGCATCGCGGTGACTGTTCGGTGACAAAAGGAGAGATGAATAAAAGGAACAAAAAGGGAACAACAACAACAACAATGTCAACCACGGACGGCGCGCATTCGGCAGTTCATTAAAATATCTGGGAGTCCAGCTCGAGGCCCTCGTGATCCACGGGGAGGGGAGGCGGAGGGGGAAGCCCCACGAGGGGACACCCTTGAATTATTTTCAGGTCCTCTCGCTCATTAAGCCTTTGGTAAATTCAACAGATTTCCACAACGTAACATCGCTGCTCGAATTTTGGCGGGGTCACATTGGATAATGACTGCCACTGCCGCACTGAACCTATTTTCCTCGCGTTTGTTCGCTATCTTCCTTTCGGATTCCGTAAATCCTGCGTCGGTGATTGTTAAAGCTCTCAACTGGATTTCATACCCAATTTCATTCCCCTTAATGAATTTGGTGCGAGGAAGCCGACGCGGCGGCATTAACACTAACCGCTGGTCGTATTTCGAGTCGTATTTACGTCTCTTCCAAGAGAATGACTGTCCACTGTCCTCGGGGACTCGAGTCCAGGGCCACGGCCGCCACGGCCGCCGCGCGTCCCCTGACTCATCAAGGGCCTGCACTACATCTTCTCCTCCGGGACGCCGGCCAGGAATGCCTTAATTGGGAGATTTCGGTCATGAGCATTTCTGCCCCTCCCCGCCGAGCCCCCTCGGCACTTGGTTCGGTGACGTCGTCGTCGTCGGACGCGGCAGGCTGCTTCCGAACAGTGCTTTTGTCGCTCTGTCTCTCTCGCGCCGATAGGGCGTCTCGCAGGGCTGCGAGAGAGACAGAGCGACGAGAGCCCTGTGGCCTGTGGCCTCGCCTGCGGCCGGGCCCAGTGCGTTGAATGGAATGGAAGTCCAGCGGGCACGCGGAGATACCCCGGCCGCCAGGGACCGCAGGGCCTCCGCGCGGGGTATCGCCGCCAGGTGGCGCCACCGACAGGCACGGACGAGTGGCGGGACGGCGGCACGGATGGGTGGCGCGGCGCGCTGCGATGCTTGCGCTGCTGGGTCGATAGCACGACTGTGCCCGTCCCGTTCCAGTCCAACCTCATTAGTTTCTGCAAGTGCTCCCGCGCCAAAATGTGACATTGTTGACGTGGAACGCGGCGACCTCTGCACTCCGGCTGCTTTCGGCGCGGAGACTCGAGTCGTTCCGATCGGCGCGTTGCTGCGCGTTGCCGCTGGCGTCGTGTGAGGTGAGGCGGGCCGTTGCAAGTCGTTGTTTACTTCGGGCGCGGGGTGCGTTGTGCGTGCAGCGCCGCGCCACGGCGGGGCGCGAGTGCAACCTGCTCCCGTGGTGCGACCTGGCGGTCCCGGACATGCCCGTGAAGGTGCCGCCCTGTCTCTGAAGCGAGTGAGGCAGCACCGCGGCGGGTCGCAAAGCATGCGACGGTTCCACCTTAACCTCAAACCCGCCAGCGACCCGCCCACCCTACACCTGCACGCCAAGCGCCCTGCTGCCAAAACGGGTCTTTGCTTTGTTTGTTGCGACAGGTGAAGGCGGTCCGGGCCGCGCCATGAGGGCCGCGTCTCCCTGAAGCGAGGACACCGCAAACCGAGGATGCCTTTCGGACTAGGATGGACCAACGACGACTGGCTGGAGGAGCTGACCGGCAACATCACTTTCCACATCCCAGGTGAATACCAACGGCAAACACCAGGAGACCCAAACAACACGAAACGCTCACAGTGACGTCATTTTGATGTCAATATGACAAATTTAAGTCAAAATTTCGACAGAAAAAAAGCATTATTTTGACGTCATTTTGACGGAAGGAAGCAAACGAATTTATGCAGCCAAGTCGAAGTCGACCTCCCCTCTGCGCTGCGCCGCGTCGTTTCCTGTTGAGATTACTCTTGTTCGGAAACGAGTCAATAGGCGCCACTGCACTGCAGTGCCCGGCCGACTTTCTGCCTCTGACATTAGGCGCTTCCGGGAGAGGGACGCTCCGCACTGCTCCGCGCCCCACATCGGCAGCAGGGTGGAAAAGTGGGCGAACCGTTACGAAAGGTTGCTGTGCAGTGAACCTTACCGGGTGAAACGACGGGATGTTAGGCTGGTTTCGAACAGTCGCTCTGCCCCTCTCGCCCCACAGGCGCCACTTGATTAAGCGACACAGAGCGACGAAAGGACCTGCACGCCCGCTCGGACTCTGGACAACTCACCTGCACCTCGGTCTGCACCGCGTGCTCGAGCGTCGCGTCTGCCGCCCCTTGCGGCTCCGAGCCCTTTGGGCCCTACACTGCGCCCTACACTGGGACCGCCGGCCCGCCGCGGCCACCGGAGTGGGACTGACCTTAGGAGGAAGGGAAGGGGTTGCAGATGGAGTGGCGCGGCGTGGCGTCGTAGGGGCTAGCCCTATTTTATCACCAACCTTTCTCGTCCAGTGAAATCCACCCACTTGGCTACCCCCACCCCTCCGCACCCTCCCTTACCTTTCCTTGACTAAGCTCATGGCATGGTGCCACGCCGGGCCGGGCCGGGCCACGCCGCGCCACTGTCCATGCCGGCTTGCCGCACACTGTGCCGCACTGCCCCCAGCGCACTGCAGTCTGCCGCAAGCCCGCGCCAGCGACGCGCCAGCGCGCCAGCCTCTCGCGCAGCCGCCGCGGCGCAGCGACACGTGGGCGACACGCCTCAGACGCGCGTGGCGCCGGCCGGGACGCGACGTGACAAGTGTGTGACACGTGTGTGACACGTGTGTGACAAGCGTGTGACAAGCGTGTGACACGTGTGTGACACGTGTGTGACACGTGTGTGACACGTGTGTGACACGTGTGTGACACGTCCAAGACACGTGTGTGACAAGTGTGTGATACTTCACGTGTGCACAACGCGTGTCACTACCGACGCCTTCCGCGCGCCACGTACTAGGGACAGCCGGGGCGCGATGCGTTACGTTTGTAGTGTGAAGTCCCGCTGACCCGGGGCGCGTCACGCGGGACGTGACGCGCGTGACGATGGCGGTCACGGCGGTGCCCTGCTGGTACTCGCCACTGCCTGCCGCGTCGTGCCCCGCGGAGGTCCCGGACAACGGCACCGCGCTCGGACCAGGTACAGTGTAGAGTCACGCTGTGAAGTGGATTCCTCGCCGTGCCGCGGGGCGGCCACACCATGCCCCGCCATGCCCGGCCATGCCGCAGTGCGGAGTGGGCCAAGAAGCCGGATTAGGCCACACTCTCGAAACGGCCTGGATGACTGCTGGTCTTGAATTGGGACTCGAATCAAAATGGAATAGCGTCATGTCAATGGATCCCTTCGTTTGGCCAGCAAACCCATCGTGTCGCATTCGAAACACATTCGATGAATGGAGAGCAGCTCAAAACGTTCTCAAGCTGTTTGGCCCATTCACTGCTCGTCAGCGCACTGACACTGGCGCATTCAATTAAAAACGCGGCCGCGCGTTCCGAGCCCTACAGTGCCCAGCACCACAGAACAGACTGCCACCTGGCTCGATAAGAAACTCCCCTTATCGCTCCGGTGTAATCAAATTGTTAGATTTAAAGTGATGTACAACTCGAGGCGCGTTGCTTTGCGTGCGTCGTGTCGGGGGCGGGGCCGGGCCGGGCGGGGCCGGGCGGGGCCGGGCGGGGCGGGGCGGGGCGGGGCGGGGCGGCAGTCCTATCGCGGGGACGCCATCGGTACGCTGTACGCTCAAAGAGGAATCGACCCACGAATTTGTCGACGCCGAGAAAATGTTTCTAAAGGGACCGTGGGCCATGTTTGAAAAAAAAAAGTTGTAACGTGCGGGTTACCCCGTCACCTCGTTAGCTCGAGTTGGTTTGGTTACCCATGGTTTCGAATCCCCCTGAGGAGCTTAGAATGTTTCAGCCTCGGCAAAACCATCGAGCTTACTGCGGGCACGTTACAAATGGAGGCAAGTTGATCGGAAATGAGTCCGTGACGCCCCTCGAAGTAGGCAAATCGTCTAGCTCCCCTCCCCTTCTGTCGGTCAGCGATTTGTCAAACGAGCCCCCCTTTTTTTTTGCTTGTCAACTCGCAGAGAGTTACGCCCCTGCGAGCACTGTACCGCCTAGTGTAACACGGTCGCCGTGGCTCCGGGAAAACGTCGCGTTACAATAAAGAAGGAACGGTTCAAAAAGGCGGTGCTAAAGTCGCCGTGAAGTGGAGAGAAATCGTCGACCGAGATAGTCGGGTCGTCGTTCTGCAGACGATCATGGCAGTGCCCGCTACGCGCGCACGCCACTTTTTATCGATTTGCGAAAACGACGCACATTTTACTGCGTGCGACTGTACTACACTCGGCGGCGGGACGTCTGGCCGCGAAGCCGCGAAGCGCCGTCGGGAAGCCGAGCCGGGGGCGCCGGGGACAGAGTGCGGGTTGGGACCAAGCCTCTGCGTGTAAGTGTGTGTGCGCCCTGTCAAAATGCGCAAATTCGTGTTTGGCTATAACACCATTCGTGCATGATATCGCACCGATTTGTGCACTTAAAACAATAGCTGCGGTTGTGCACTTAGAATCTACCGAATACCACAATGGCGTGCGGGCTGACGAGGTGTCTGATTAAATTCGTTTTAATTTGTCGGTTTAATTGATACAGGTTACGAAACGGAGCCTAATGAGTCCGTGGAAAAACAGTTCTCGTGCATGTCGCGGCAGCGTAAGGCCTTTAACCGTTATAACGATCTTGCGGGGTAATGCTCGGGGTCATGCTCCCGTGTCCCGGGGGACGGGGCACGCCTGCCTGCAACACCCGGGGCACCCCGGCCGGCAGACAGATTCCAGACGGTTCCCTCTCTCTCGCACTCGTGGAGCACCCCGCTGGGGCCCGCAGGTGTGCGAGAGAGACAGAGCGGCGACAGCAGGGTTCGGAATCGGCCTGCAGGTAAACCGTAGCGCCTCAAGGGGTGAGCATCACCATGAGTCATCCGGCCGTAGCTGGCCTGGTGGGGGATGGTGGGGGTGGGGGGGATGGTCTGGGGATGGCAGCGGCGAGTCACGCCAGGCCGGCCGGACTCCACTGCCCGCCCGCACGCGAACCGGCTCCAACCGGCAGCGAGGCTTTATTCTGCCTATCGCCAAAATGTAATGTTAGGCTGTCGCCGGCGAGGGGGTTGCCCTGCCGGGCCTGCCGGGGGTGGAGTGTTGCTCGGTGGACTGCATCGCTATCGCACCAAGTAGCATTCGTCTTGCGTCCTCACGCTGCAGTCAGGCAGATAGCGAATCTAGGCGAACGGGCCTAGCGGGGCCGAACGGGGCGGTGCACACGGCCAGCGGGTCCTCGGCCAACCACCCCACCGTAAAAAGTACTATGCGAAGCATCGCTTGGTAATCTTCTCTCCCTTTCTCTCTGACCATTCTCTGTTCCTCCAGGCGGGGGCACCTGGTGCGACCAATGGCGGGACCCGCAGAACGTCCTGTACCACGTGGCCAACACGTGCTTCGCCCTGGCCTACGTGGCGCCCACCAACAGCAACGGCGAGCTCTTCATGCAGGCCGCGCTCATAGTCGGTAAGGACAACAACAAATAAAAATCCACAACAAAACAGAAACAACAACAAAACCAAACAGACTTGTTGTCACGGTGGTCTTGAGCTCCTCCTTTTGCCCTTAATAAAACGCCTGGCGGCGAGACATATTTGTCATACAGTCTGTACAAGGAGGCAAAAGGTGCGACCTGACACAACTCCCTCCTTTTCCCATATCTGTATACGCGCCTGACGAAAACAACAACAACAAACAAACTGAGAGTGCAAACGCCTTGGCAGGATTTATCTTGTTCTCCGCCTGGTCCTGGGAGTCCATCTGCGCCCCCGACGCCTTCTCGTGGAACTTCGGCTTCGCGCTGCTGAATATGCTGCAACTTTTTCACGCCGTCTACCGCCTCCGGCCCGTCAAGTTTGACCCGGAGTTGGAGGAGGTGTACCGGAACCTGTTCCAGCCCTTCAAGGTGAGGCGGTGCTCTGTAAAATGCTTGCTTGTCACTTTCACATCATTTTCAAGTGATGGTGATTTAAGTGGTTTTCAAGTGACCATGAGTGAAAATGTCATCTATGTCACAGAGTGACAACAATTTTTTTTTTTTTTTTTTACGAAACACAAAATGTCCCCAGGTGACGAGGATCCAGTTCAAGAAGCTGGTGAGCGCCGAGTTCGCCCAGATCATGTCCCTGCACGCCGGGGAGGCGTACGCCATGCAGAGCCTGACCAGGACGGACCGCCTCGGTCTGCTGCTGTCGGGGAAGGTAAATCGGTTCCATTTTATCACTAAAATTAAGCAGCTTAGCCTAGTACCGGTCTCAATTTTTGCCGTTCACTGAAGATTTCATTACCATATCGTTTTAGTAATACCATGAACACGTTTCCTGAGTGCATTGTGAGAGTGTGTAACCTCATCTGCCTTTTATTTTCAAACAAATGTCAAAAATAAAAGTTTGCTAACTGTTTTTTTCCCTCCCTGACAGGTGAACGTTATGTCGGACCATCAGTTCCTGCACCCCATCTTGCCCTGCGAGTTCCTCGACTCGCCCGAGTTCGAGTCGAGCCGAGCGAACGTGGACGACAAATTCAAAGTGAGTCCCCTTTCAAAAGACGCATTGGTCGTCTTGGGCTGAATGGACTCATTGGTGGCGTTGTTGACAGGTGTCCATCATCGCGGCCACGTCGTGCAGGTACCTGTTTTGGCAGCGGACGGCCCTGGAGTACCTCTTCGTCAAGGAGACGTACCTGGCCACCGTGGTCAGCACCATCGTGGCCAGGGACATCACCACCAAGCTGTACTCCATGAACAGCAAGGTTGACACTGTTAAATTTCCATCGTCGTCCAGCTTTTTTCTTCGCCGAAGTTAACGTTGAACATTTTGTTCGGGTTTAGATCGTGACGGGCAAGGGTTCCCATCTGGACATCCGCTTGCCCGCCGTGACGTCATCGCTGGGCGCGAAGGCCACCCCCCGCATCCTGAGGCAGCACCGGCGGGCCAAGCAGAACCCCTCCACCTCGCCGCCCAGCCACAGCACCGCCACGGGTATTAACCTCTGACGAGCGGCGGCGCCGATACACTTTTAACAATAAATCGGAAAGTCCCGGAAAGTGCGTTCGGAATGCTGTTGTTTCTGCCGGTGCTCGCCGCCCGCGGACGAGAGGGTAGGCAACACTGCGAGACTCCCGAGCGTCGCGGCGGCCTACCCGCGCGTCCGCGGGCGCTCGCCGCCACCCCACTGCGAACACCGCGCAGGCCGTTCCCGAACACTCTGCCTCTCTCGCACTCACGGCGCGTGCCGTAGGGCCGCAGGAGTGCGAGAGAGACGGAGCGGCCCGCTGACGTCACCGGTCCTTTCCAGATCCGCTGGGCAGCCGCGAGCGCCTCGTGCAGTCGCCGGCCAAGGAGAAGAAGGACAAGGAGGGCAAGGAGAACGGCAGGCCGGAGAAGCAGATGGGCAACGGGCGCGCGCAGCGGCCCCCCGAGATGGAGCCCCTCACCGAGCTGCCGTCCATGGACGACCTGACGACCAGCGGCGTGGAGAGCTGGCTGGAGAGCAGCTCCAAGTACCACAGCTGCGAGATCGTGGACGAGTGAAACGGACCAGGCCAGCCCGGGCCAGCCCGGGGGACGGAAACGGCAATAAAATGAACTGCGCAAAAGTTTCGTAACCAAATGGAAAGAAAAGAAAGACCTCGAGTCACATTTGCAAAAAGAAACGCACATAGGCGTGCGGTTGGTTACCTGTAAACTAGGAAAATCAAACAAATTTTAGTAGATTAGACCAAACCTTTTTGTTAGGATTACCTGTGTTATTTTGAAGTGATTTTATATGTGTATATCGCATGTGACGCAAGATATTTGGCATCCGAGAGGTTGCTTCACGGAGTAGTGTTTTGCCGGTCGGCTGACGTGGCGCGTTTATTCGGTAAGCGTGACAATCATCTTGACCGTTGGAAGTTGTCAAGAAACTAATTCTCAAAGAGAAACCAAAGATGTTAATTTTATATACGTGTATTGTACGTACTGCTTGTTTAGGCAATCATATTGTGGCCTTGTTGGATTGTTAGTTGGAGTAGACATTATGTACCTTGTTGTTTGTGATAATTTTTTTCATAATTAAATTGTTAGATACAACAAACGTGAGTCGTTAATTTTTAATTCCTGCACCCCGACTCTTGGGAAAGCAATCAAGAAACGAAACACGGCAACGCGACAGAGAATTGACGCCCCTCCTCAATTAAAATAATTGCTCCGCCGAATCACAACTGGCGCTGGATCCCCAGACACGGCCCGGGACACTTACCCACTCAGAGGCAGCCAGAGGCCTCTGAAGGAGCGTCACTAAGTGCCACTTTCCGAACGCGGTCGGGGCTTTGGGGAAGGGCGCGGCGGGGCGAGGCACGGTCGCTCGCAGCGCCCCCCGCGGGACGCACCGGAACCATGACGGGGCGCTGGGGGGCGGGGCGGCAGGCCAGTATTGATGTTTTGGGGTCGCTTGCCGGCAAGCCGAGCCGAGTCGGGGCGCGCCGAGCGGAGCCGAGCCGGGCGCGCTGTGGTGGCGAAGGAAGGGCCCGCTTTGCCCGCTTCGCCAGTGGTTCGCGGGACGTCGCCCTCGCCGCGCTGCTCGCACGGACGCCACGGCCGCGACGCCGCCCTCGCGACGCCTCCGCGACACCCCACATGTTGAGCGTCCGATACCCGAGCCACGGCCGCGCGATGCGCGCGATGCGGTAGCGCGCCGCGGCGGCCGAGTGCGTGCGTCTGGGTGTGTGAGTGTGTGTGCGTGCCTCCCCGCCGCGGCCAGGGGCGCCAGGGGCGTTGCCGTGGACGTCCTCGCACCACGTGGCGCGCCGACGGGTCACCATGTGAAGAACAGTGTAAGTGGCGCTAGCACAACAACGCGGACTCCTCGCTGGCCGTGCCGCTGGGGTGGCCGTCAAGCCGCGGCGCTACCAACCGCCGCGTGACGGGACGGTGGCCCTGCGCAGCCCTGCGCAGCCCTGCGTGGAGGCTGCGCTGTAAGGGGCGGGGGCGGGGGAATTGAATTGTCAGCCCCGATGAGGCGAAGCAAGGCGAAGCGTGCCCGCCTGCCACGCAGTGCCACGCCCAATACCTGCGCCCTGCAATTACCGCGCGGGCCGCCGCTCTCCTTCTCTCTGTCTCTCTCGCACCCGCAGGCCGCGCGGGGCGCCCCGCGAGTGCGAGAAGGACGGGACGACGAAAGCACGGTTCGGACTCCGTCGGCCCCTTTAATTGAGGCTGGCCCTATGTTTGGCCGATTTGGCCATAGTTAAGGTCCGGTCCGCACGGCTGCACGAGACGTAGAGGCGCAGATTGGACTGGAAGTACAGTCGGATCCGCCAAACGGAGGCAATTTGTCGATTGGAGGATGGAGTGCGCCGCCGGGAAAATAGCTGTAGGCCCGGAGGCGCGCCGCTCGGCCGCTGTAAACAAAAGGAGGGGGAGGGCGAATCTTCTGGGATGGAATAAATATCGTGGGCTCTTTTCGCCGGGCGGCACGGTCCGAGGGGTGTGGTGTGTTTGCGAGGGGGTTGGGGGCGGGCAGATTTATGGCACGTTGAGGGGGCATTCTTGGGGGGTGGTTGCGGGGGTGGGAGAGGGGGCGACGTTTCGCGCCGCCACTGTAGGTTCATTTCACTGGGCGGCGCGTTCTCCACTGTATAGGGCTCGCGGGGGTCGGTCCGTCGGTCCCGAGCAGCGTGTAGTCGTGCCCTTCGTGAAGTGTTTGACCGGCTGTTCCATCGCGCGCTGCTGGCGCTCGCAGCGCGCAGGCCGCAAACTCAGTCCCCTGATTTCGTTTGCTTTCGCTTCGCGCCGGGGAACGCGGGCAAGCACTGCGACCACCCTCCAGTTGGGCCAACACAGGCCTCCCTCCGCCTCCCTCCGCCTCCCTCCGCCTCCCTCCCGCCCCCTCCGCCTCCCTCCGCCTCCTTCCGCCTCCCTCCGCCGCCCCTCCGCCTCCCTCCGCCTCCCTCCCGCCTCCCTCCGCCTCCCTCCGCCTCCCTCCGCCTCCCTCCGCCTCCCTCCGCCTCCCTCCGCCTCCCTCCGCTTCCCTCCGCCTCCCTCCGCCTCCCTCCGCCTCCCTCCGCCTCCCTCCGCCTCCCTCCGCCTCCCTCCGCCTCCCTCCGCCTCCCTCCGCCTCCCTCCGCCTCCCTCCGCCTCCCTCCGCCCAGCAGCAGCGGCAGCAGCGGTGTCCTCCAAAGAGAGTTCCCAAGTACTCTGTGGGGATTCCGGGGCGGAGCACTCTAGCTTAGCCACCTGCGAGTCAAGGGTGGTGTGGAAAGGGAGTGGGCGGGGTGGGGAGTGGGAAGGGAGTGGAATGGGAGGGGAACAAAGTGACCCCTGCAGTATCGCGACCACGCATCAGTGCCAACTAGACAAATGGCTCTTCCAGCTTCCAATGATTAGTGTTCCAAGAATGGCATCATCAGGGTAATGTGCGGTGCAGCCCCTTGGCGGGGCGGGGCGGGGCGGGGCGGGGCGGGGCGGGGCGGGGCGGGGCGCGGGTGCCCTGGCGGCTCCCCAGCTGCCAGCGCTTCACTTTGCTTCACGCTCGCTGGCGCTGCTGCGGTACGACGGCAAACTTTCCAAAAGGCAATAAAGAGGAGGAATGGGTC